AAAAAAAAAAAAAAAAAAAACTAACCAGAACCAGCCAACAAGATTACAAGTAATATTGATTAAATGGGGATCAAATGGGAAAACAAATTACATATAAGGTATTTCCCATTTAGAATATGAGTCACTGCTGTCTATCTCTAGGGCAAGTAGTGCCTCTTCTTTTTATAATGCTAAAAAGTGAATGTGCCTTAATTGTTCTCCGTGTTGGCTCCTGGAGGGCTGGCACCTTGATGGCTGGAGCCTTGAGGGCTGGCACCTTGAGGGAGGCCCTGTCTAACTGCCTACAAGATATCTAATTAACTTACCTATCTACAATACTTTCACCAGAGAAAACTCCTTAATCTGCTCTGGGATTGGGCTGTAATACAACATCACTGGCTGGAGCTGTCAGAAGACAGGATCTGGGACTGACAGAGCAGCATGAATGTGAGGAGAAAATCCTAGCAGGGAGCTATGGAAGAATCGAAGATAAATTTTACCCAACTAAAACTTGGAGGAAAATACAGTTGACCTGGCATAAATCCATCAACTGGAGATGAAAGAAGTGAACAGAGGTTACAAGTGCTGTCCACTGCCCCAAGACAGACTTTGAGTTTAAGTCTAGCCAAGTTAAATGCCTTCTAGATAAAAAATCATTTTTATAGGAACCCAACAGAAGCTAGAGTCTATCATTCATAATGCCCAGTATCTACCCATATAATGAAACAGGAAAAGTGTGTCCATATTCAATTTAAAAACTCACAATATTGCAGTTAGCACACAAGCATTTTAAAGCAGCAATTACAGATTTGTTTCCAGGAAATAAATGTAAATAGATGAGAAAGAGAAAGTTTTCTTTTTTTTTTAAAGAATATAGGGGCTACGGATTTAGCTCAGTGGTGCCACCACTTGCCTTGAAAGTGGAAGGTCCTGAGTTCGATCCCCAATACCAAAAAAAATAGTGAGATAGGGCATCATTGCACACACCTGTGATCCCAGTACTAGGGAGGATGAGGCAGAAAGATTGTGAGTTCAAGGCCAGCCTGGACTACATAGTGAGACCCTGTCTCAAAACAAAAAGATTCTACAGCTAGCAGATGGGAAATCTGACATTGAAAATCTGGTGGGTCTGTCTGTGACAGAAAAAGAATCAGTGAACTTTAATACAAGTAATCTAATCTGCAGAAGCAGGAGGAACAGCATTGAAGAAAAGAGCTTCAGAGTCCAGTGAGACAATATCAAATGGTCTAATATATGTGAAATTTTTGTCCCAGAAGAAGTAATAGTGCAGAAAAAAATGTGAGGAAATAATGACCTGATCTAAACTTGGTGAAGAACATCAATTTATAGAGGCGAGGAGTTCAACAAGTTCTGAATAAGATAAAAATGAAGCCATATACTTTATCACATTATTTACAGAAATCTAAAGATAAAATCTTGAAGTCAAGCAGATAAAGCCAAGTTATACACAGAATAAGGATGTAAATGGTTTTCTTTTAACCGGAAATAAAGGAGGCCAAAGGGCAATGTCCCGGCAGTCTTCAAGTGCTAGAATAGAATTATCATCTTGGATCCTATTGACAGTCTCTGAACATGATAGGGAAATGAAAGCATTTTCAGATAAACACTATAAATATCTGAAAGACATTTTTATACATGTACCACAAGAAATAATGAAGTCGTTTAAGTTGAGGGAAATTGCCCCAAAGGGTACCATGAAGGTAACGGAAGGAAGCTCATTGGAAATGGTTAATCGAAAAGTGTATGTAATTGCCTCACACCTGTTCAAAACAAAAACAGTTAACACTGTGTAAGTGTAAGGAATGCAAAAGGGGACATTACCAGAACTTCTGCAGTCTCCTGTGAGCCACTGAGACACAAAGCTGATAAGAATAAGAACAAGAAATGAGACTTGGAGAAAAAGCTGGAGGTTGGAGCCTGGTCAGTGCTGCTCTGGGCAGCAAAGGCACAGGCACCCCAAGCTTGCCACTACTGGATTCCTAGGGAGTATGGGCTGACTCAGAGGGTGGTGATAATCTGAAAGTGGCGAGGATCTTATAATCAGAGGAAGTATCAGATGACCTGAAGGGTGGAGGATGCTGATGAGGATCTTAGGTTGATGAGAATCTTAACCTCATTAGGATGATGAGATGAGGGTATAGTCACAAAATGTCTGATAAGAATTTGTATCCAGAATATTTAAAGAACTCACACAGTTCAACAATACCCACAAACAATGTCTCAATAGATTTGAAAATGGGTGAAACACTTAGATGTACATTTCTCAAAGGCAGATATGAATTGCCAATAAGTACAGGAAAAATTGTTTAATATCATTAGTCACCAGGGAAATGCATATTAAAATCACAATGACATACTGTTACTTACCCACCAAGTTGTCTAAAACACTGACACCCCACATGGTGGCAAGTATGTGAAGCAACAAAAGTGCTCAAACATTGAGCACTAGAAAATGATACAAATGATCAGAGTAAAATTTGGGTAGTTTTTTATAAAGTTAAATGTCTACATCTCCTCTTAGCTCAGGAGTTGTGCTCCTGGGTATTTATGCAAAAAAAAAAAAGTGAACATTCACGTCCACAAAATGATTTGCACAAAAATACTTGTAGCAATCTCATTTATAATAGCCTCAAACTGGAAAGAAATCAACTGAGCATCAATAGGAGAATTGAGTAAGTACATTATACTGTTTCCACACAGTAAAATTCTATTTGGCAGTGGAGAGGAGACAGACTACCAAGATAAACAGCCACACGAATCTCTTAGACATTGTGACCAGCCAAGAGAAGCCAGACCCAGAAGAGCACCCCTACACAATTCCATTTAAATGGAGCTCTAGCGCAAAACTAAAGTTAAAATTTTCAGAAAAGTCGAATAAGGAATTGCCAGCTTTGTACAGAAGTTTTGTGAGAGATGTATTCTGTATTACCATAGGTGCATCCATTTTTCAAACATTTATAGCTAAGGTTTGTGTGTTTCAAAGTATATGAATTTATCTCCCTCAAACCTATGAAATAATAAAATAAGTAGTTGGTTGGGATTGGGTAGCAATGTAGATAGTATAGTAGAGTGATGATATTTGTTGAAACTTGGTGATCAGCACATAGGAGATGAGTATATTATTCCTATTCACTTTGTATATGCTTGAAATTTTCTATTAAGGGTTCCAAAAATTATTCTAAACTTTAGTTAGAATAGAGTGCATTTTTTTAATTTAGAGATTTGTTTTAAGCATGATTACCCATGTCAAAGAAATGATTCAATAAAGGATATTTACTTCTTTAGTTTCAACTCAGTTTTTATTTATTAACTTCAAGTGAAACTAAATTTAGAACATTTTATTTATTTAACCTTTTAAAAAATGTAGAACATTGTATTAATATAACGTTCTAAAACTGTCAGTGTGTTAGTACAAGAGCATTGCATATTAGTATATATATCAGATACCTGAATAATATTTGTGGAATTTTTTTCCATATTTAATAACTTCAGGGGACCAATATTGTGGAGGACGCCTTGAAAGACCTTCAGGCTCTTTTAAAACCCCCAACTGGCCAGACCGGGATTATCCTGTAGGAGTCACTTGTATATGGCACATCATAGCCCCAAAAAACCAGGTGAGGCTCCCTGAAACTGAAGAAGGTATGCAACTGTGAATTTCCCTGACAGTATGAGGGGCCCACTCCTAGGAGCCTCTGGCTGTGGGGCTCATGCAAGAACTAAAGATAAGGAAGAGACTAAGGCCCTGCTCAGCACAGGTATTTCTTCGTATAAAGACCCAGTTAAAATTGTCTTTTGTGGGGCCGGGGATTTAGCTCAGTGGTCCCAATGCCTGCCTCACAAGTGCAGGGCCTGGGGATTTGGCTCAGTGGTTTTGCCACCTGCCTCGCAAGAGCAAGGGCTCAAGTTCAATCCCCAGTACCAAAAAAAAAAAAATTGCCTTTTGCATTATTTCATTTGCAAAGTCATGCATTTAATTTCCTATTATATGATGACAACTTTCAAAACAAATGGTAAGCAAATTTCACATAAGATTATTTAATGCTGGAACAGGTTTTACAAGCATGCTTGTAGTAGTAATAAGTAATTGTGGGTGGATAAAAATCCCAGATACGTGTACATTGCAAACCCATAGCAAACCCATCATGTCCCAGTCATCCTAATCATCAAATCAAAAACAGTGCATGTTCCTCGCTTCAACAAAACCGGTAAAAGCCAGATTGTCTTTGTAACAAGGTGTCCGGTGTAAAAGCTGGTCTTTTTTAGGATGTTTTTGATTGTTGTTTAAAATGAAGTTTATATAAATTACACACAAAAATGTTATTTATTGCTCTAAAACAAGAGAGAAGTTCTAGTTTTCTAGTTTTTATTAGTTTGTGGCTTCATGATTTTTTTGCCTTTTCTAGGAAACACTTTCAGATATTAATGGTAGGACAGAACTTGGCAAAGGAATAAATATAACTTACTTTGTGAACTTTTAAATCTAAGTTTTAAAAAATATTACAAACACTATAGAATTTAATCCAAACACTAAGGTCAGCATTGTAACTTTTTAAAAAATTTTTTCCTAAATTGATCTCTCAAAAAAAATAAATAAATAAGGGCCGGGGATTTAGCTCAGTGGTTCTAGCACCTGCCTCTCAAGTGCAAGGACCTGAATTCAATCCCCAGTACAAAAAAAAAGTTAAAAATAAATAAAATAAGTTGACCTTTCATATCGTTTGCACAAATATTATTTGTCATATCTTTATTTTTAAAATAAACAATTACTCAGGTCAGTGTACCATACAAGTCAGTGATTTGAACACACACAGTCACACACATACACTTAGGTACACACTTTGATCATAATCCCAAACTAATTTTTATTGTTTTTTTTTGTACCAGGGATTGAACTCAGGCACTTGCACTTGGGAGGTAGGCAGTGAAACCACTGAGTCAAACTCCCGGCCTTAATTTTTATTGCCAAGAAGAAAAATATAGTCATTTATTTAATAATTGAAGACTTATTTCTAAATAAAGCCATTATGTACTGCTTGAAATTAAATTGATCTTTTTTTTCCTAAGACATATGTAAATGTATTTGACCAAGTAATTTCAAACTAATTAATTTACTGATTACAGTTCAACATCTCTTTTCCATTACTCTTCCCTTTGTTTGAGTTTGTTAATATGATTTTTGGCTTCCGCCAATAGTGTTTTCCATAATCATTGTTGCATTTTAAATCACCAGCAGCTCTTCCCAAAAGAGAAAAATATGAGAAAATTAAGTCCTAAATAATTTGTATATATATCTGTAGAATTTTCTATTACTGAAGAATCACCTCCACTTTTCAATTATAGCTTTCATTCTCTTTTTTATTTAATTATTCCTAATCTTCTCTCCCAATATTTTTAGTTGACTAATTTCTGAAGGAGGGTCAGCCAGTTTTTAATGGAAAGTACATTATGAATTGCTGTATTAATTACTGGTGGAAAGTCACTGGGCCCCAAAAGAGAATCTTTTAATACAATTTAAAGCAATATTAAGTAAAAATAAGCTACTATTTCATATCATGTATTTTTTAAGGTAGGTAAGTATATAGATGTGTGGCAATTACGTTCAAAACCAAAATTTACCATTGTGTCCATCTGTGCTGCTGCTATTGTTACCATTTCACTCTGATTACTGTGTGATTCTCCTTAACACATAGGAATTAATGCCCGTTATCTCACAAGAATTACATTCTGTTACGTTTGCCAAAGTATCAAGGAGGATTCCTGTCCACCTGCTGCCCAGGAAAAGTGGACATCGGCTGTCTGAGTGCCGTGGGTGTTAATGGACCTAGTGAGACTTTCTTTGATTCACACTTCAAAAGTGTTAAAGAATCTGCTTAAAAGGGAAATGATTGATTGCCTATTAAATCAAAATTGCCTATTCATTTGAATAATTTAGGATACTATTCTTGGTAATAGAACAAAAAATTAAGAAACACTTAAGAATCCTAGCACTAACTGTGTATTAGTGCTTCTGTGCAACCTCTTCAGAAATCAACCACATCCCAAGTAGCCTCTAGTTGGCACGCTCACATTTAAAACATCCTTGAGAAAGGCACTCCAGTCAATTCCTACTTCTCTAAATCTCTGAACCTAGAAATCTGACTCCTTTATATGTAATAGTTATGTCAGTCTCCTTCCCTCAAAAGGAGAACAACTCTACTCATCTTACCTACACATGTATCCACACACACACACACACACCACCATGATGTACTTTACTATAGGGGACGTGATAGATAACAGATCTCCAGAACCAATTAACAGTCATAATGTCGATTGGTAGAGTTGCATAGTGTTCCCAGACGTTTGTTGCTAAAAGTGAACAGAGCCCTTAAATTTAAGATCCTAAAGAGCATTTATCTGGGTTTGAGATCTTCTTTTGTAATGATTAAAAATGAAAGCAAAAAGAATATCATAGTTTGGTTAAGTAAATAAAAACATGGTAATAAGAAAAACATAATTTAAAGAGAATGAATACTTTTTTTTTAACAAATAAAAATTATGGTATCCTACAAATCTGGGAAGCAGAAAATTTCCATGGGAGGTTGTTCAAAAATGGTATTTTTGACACTTCTGTGTTATGTTTTCTCTAAAGCTTATAGAATTAAAATTTGAGAAGTTTGATGTTGAGCGAGATAACTACTGTCGATATGATTTCGTGGCTGTGTTTAATGGTGGAGAAGTCAATGATGCTCAGAGAATTGGGAAATATTGTGGTGATAGTCCACCTGCGTAAGTAGTACCTATTTGGGTCATTCAGATTTTCATGACTCTAGGCCAGGAACTTGGCTTAGTGGTTCTGCCACCTGCCTCACAAGCACAAGGGCCAGAGTTTGATCCCTGGTACCAAAAAAAAAAGAAAAAAAAAAAAGATTTTCATGACTCCATCTCGTTTTTTTATGAAATTTTCCAGTTACATTTATTTTCTGGAAGGTTTTAACTGTTGTTTCATTGTCAAATTCTAAACAATTCTAAAAATTATATTCATATCTATAATCTCAACAAAAATTAAAAATAGGTGGATTGGAGAGTTAAATGTGAATTTCTCTTCATCCAAATATATTTTAAAGAAAGGGAAAAGAGAAGACACAAATGGAAACACGTATTTGTAGCATGTATTGGACAGTAGTTATAGGTTCCAGAATATACCAAAAGAATCCTAAAAAATAAAAGCAAATTTGATAGAAATTGGGCAAATAACAGAAAAAAACATTTCCAAAAAAAGCTGCATAATGAATAGACCTTTGTCAGTTTGGCATTCCCTAATAAACTTGCAAATGAGGATATATCCTATGACTTAGAGTACAGCCTGTGCCCTTTCCTGTGGTGTCCAGATTAGAAATACTTTTGCCCATGTGCACCATAAGACACATACGAAAGTACCCTCAGCAATATTTGTAAATTTTGTGAAAGTACACACTACGTAGCCATGAAAACAGGTGAATCTCAGTTCTAAGATGTGGTGAAACAAACAAAAACCAAAAAATACACACCATACCCCTTATTTGCATGAAGCTTACACACATGCAAACCTATAAAATAGATTATTCAGTGATGCATGTATTCAAGATAAACTTAGGGGGAAAAGCAAGGCAGTGGTAAGTACACGATTCAGGCCAGGGTTACCTCCTTCAGGGTGCTGTGGGGCAGGCGACAGAGGCTATTGCGGAACAGCACTCATTCTGAGGAGTGTGACTGAAGTAGCTTTACCGTCAGCCCACCAACTAAAACTTCTACCCAGAAGAATATTTTTCCATAGATACAATACTTCTGGGGTAGGGAAGAACATGAGGAAACCTATGTGGGGGGAATTCCCCCTGTTAAAAATATGAACAGGCCAGCGTGGTGGCGCACATCTGTAATCCCAGCACTCGGGAGACTGAGGCAGGAGGATCACCATGACTTTGAGGCCAGCCTGAGCTACTTAGTTCAAGGCCAGCCTGAACTACATAGCAAGAACTTCTCTCAAAAAAAATTTTTTTTGTACAGGAGGAACATTGAGAGGTCAGGGGAAACGTTTAGGCAGAGATAGTGCCTCTTGAAGGAAAGAAGAGTTAGAGATGGCCAGAGGCAGAGGGAGGTCAGCCTGCTTCCAAGCAGAATGAATTTGACTCATAAAGATGTGCAGGAGGATAGATGCTGTTTCTGAAGCCTAAACCTTGTGCTGGGGCCTCAAGAAAGATCAGCAGATGGGGAGAGTAGGGTTCCATGTCCTACAGAGATGGGGCCCCTCCTAGTGTATGTAGGTGGCAGTGAGGGCTGTGACGTGCCCAGTGGCCCTAGGGCCCCCATCATAGATAAAATGAACAGGGAGGCTAATTGAAGGTTGCTTTCATGGGCCAGAGAAAGCCCAGGAGGTAGAGAAGGTGGTAGAGATTAGGAAACATTTCGATGGTAAGATGAATAGGGTAGGTTGGTTGGCTGAGAAGAGGAAGACTATGGAGTGACAGGCCAGATACAACTGCAGTAGCTGCTCCGCGCTGCAGAGAGAGCATCTTGATCTGTTCCTGGGAGCCGCCAATATAGAGTGGAGCTAAGTGAGATTTCACCTTGCCTTCCTCCTTTCTAGTTATTTGTAACATTAATTTGCAGGTGCAACACTTAGCCTTCAGTACATTATAGCACTGATTTTGCACATTTATACAAAGCTCAGTGGCACCATAACAAAAACCTGTGTTTGTTACTTAAATACTCTTCCTTGAGAAAATTCAATTTCCGATATAATGTCTCCAAGAATAGTTCAGAGAAAAGGCAGAGGATGATCACTACAATTACAACATCATGTGTAGCAGGCAAACCTAATTGGGTCTTAAGTTCTCCTTTACTGTTTATAATAAGTGCTTTTGTCATTTTATTATTTCAACAACATTAACATATTTTATTTGTAATTGTACATGAGAATCATGTTTAGTGCATTTTTATTTCAAAGTAATAAAAGCAAGTTATAATATTTCTGTTAAAGGCTAAAAATCTCATTATTTACATGACTTCTGTTGATCTAGGTCATGAAACTCACTTTTATATTTGTCCAATCCTTTGGCTCCAAAGTTTATTATTCAAGACAGAAAAATCCTGTATTTTTTCTAATTGGTTGGTTCGAGTATAGATCTCCCTACACAAAAGTTGCCTCATTTTTTTTGTCCGTGATGCCTGTGAAATGATTGGCTTGAGAAGATGCCTCAAAAAAATTGTTATTGATTCAATAACTTATTTAATACTTTTTCAGCTTCTGAATTTGTTTTAAAATAGAATTATCCAAATAGTGTTTCTTACCTTTGTTTAAATAACAACAGCAAAACTTAAATGAAACTGCTATCTTGTATAATATAATTATTCCCCTAGGATTTAAGGGAGCTTTTGAGCTTCAGTTATCATCTGCTAAGCCTGTGGTACCAGCAAGCTCCTAAAATTAAATTTCTTCATGGTGTTCATAACCATCAAAACAGTAATCATGTCTCTTTTTTCTTAATAGCATTTTCCTAATGGAGATTATAAATAGAAGTGTGTCTGTTTCAGGCATGCGTCAGAATGGTGATTGAAAATAAAATGGAAGTTGCTTTAAACCCTGCAAGGCTCTCTCTCCCCAGGTGACCAGTGCCCCCTGAGATAATCTGTCTGGCTGGGCCTTCGCAGAGTGGAGATTTGTCTATGCAGTTGTCCAGAGGATTCTCTGTGGGTAGTATCTGGCTCCCCGGAGAGCTTGAAAGAAGTCACACTATTCCCAAGTTAGCTAAAGCATCCCAAGATGCCTGTGGAAACCCAGCCAGAGCTTGAGTATTTACACTGCTTCCAGTATCTGCCACTGTTTCTGGAGTCACTGGGTCATGAGTTCAAACCCTGACATTTTGGCTATAGGGTTTGGAGTAAATTACTTGAACTCTCAGAACCTCAGTTGCCTTATTCCATAAAAAGGGGATGACGGGGTTGTGAAGATGGAATGAGAGAAGAGTGGTGCCTAACTGAGCAAGAATCTATAAATGTCAGCTCTTAGCATTCATATTTAGGAGAGTGAGACCATTTCCTTTTTAAGTGTTTCAGTTTTTAGGTTTAAATAAATGACCAATCTATTGTCAGAAATTAATGGAAAGCCAGAAAATTTTATATTTTCAGAGATATGAGTTATACTTTAAATGTACATATGTGTGTATATATTTTTTAAACATGTTTTTTTGTTTTTTAGGCCAATTGTATCTGAGAGAAATGAACTTCTTATTCAGTTTTTATCAGACTTAAGTTTAACAGCAGATGGATTTATTGGTCACTACAAATTCAGGCCAAAAAAATTGCCTACTACAGCAGCACCTGTTACTACCACAAACCCAGTAACTACAAGTAAGTTTTCCTGTTTGGAAGTTTATGTAAAATTTAGGAGTATGAAAAGAATTCTTGCTGGACATGGTGGTGCATACTTATATCTCAGTACTCAGGAGACTGAGACAGATGATCTGGAATTCAAGTCCAGCCTGGGCTACCCACTGAGTTTAAGACCAGCCTGAACTGTACAGCAAGACTCTGTCTCACAAAACAAAACAGAATTATTTTGAAGTAGAAAATAATTTAGTAAGAGGAATATATTTGAAACTAAAAAAATTATGTACAAGAATAGTGACTTTATTAAGAAATGGATGGGGTCTTTAACCTATCTATTCCTCTCCTCCCAACTCCTTCTAAGTCCCCATCCTGAAGGGTAAAGTTGCTATATTGAAGAGTTTATTCACTATAAACATATTTTGGGCTGGTCCTTGATTTTTATTTAATTCACATGGTTAAAGGTGATAGATCAATAACTACCACAAATGGTCAGTTTCTAAGCTGTGCTTGATGCTATTGTGTTGCTGATTGTATCAATTGGGCTAAATGGTTGTGATTGATTTAATGAGTTGTCCTTTCTGATAGTATGAAAATGAGACTGTCTCTGAGTCATTAGAGACTCAAAACCTAAAGAGCAGCTATATCAGGAAGATCAAAGTACTAACCCAGGAATTAAACAAAGGTCATCCCAAAAACAAAAATAAAAATGAGAAAACACTTAAGAAAGGCATGAATACAGACTTCCAGTTCACCAACAGCAAATTCTAGGGGAAACAAGGTGGAAAAGTCTGACAGTCAACTACCAGGACACACTGAACTCATAACACAGGAAGTAAAAAAACAGATCAATCAGGCTGTAGAAAAATTCAAAACAAATAATTTCCCAGATAACTACAGAGATGGTGAACACAATGAAAGACGTAATTAGAGATTCTAGAACAGAAACAGACAAAGACATACATGTGCTCACGACCATGATAGAAGCCATGAATGCCCAGCATAGGAAAGAAATGGAAATCATGAATGCCCAACATAGGAAAGAAATGGAATCCATTAAACAGATTCAGATATCCAGGACATTAAAAACTCTATTGAAAGCATTCACAGCAGGATGAATGAATATGAAGATAGAATTTCAAATATAGAAGATAGGATTGCAGTCAGTGACCATGAAAAGAGAGATCTCTTAAAAATAGTAATGGATCATGAGAAATCAATCCAACAACTCCTAGATGATGCAAGAAGAATAACATAAAACTGATAGGAATCCATGAAGTAGCAGAAGAAAGTACACATGACTTAAAGAAACTGTTCACAGAATTAATGACAGAAAGCTTCCCAAAGGGGAATAATTTGATGTACAGATAAGTGAGGCATATAGGACTCCAATTAACCATGATAAAAAAAAATCTACACCTAGACTTATAATAGTCAAGATCCCGGAAACCCAACACATGAGCAAAGTACTGAAAGCAGGTAAAGAAAAGAAATCACATGCAAAAGAAAGCCTATCAGAATCACAGCAGACTTTTCAACACAAACCCTCAGGTCAAGGTGAGCCTGGAGTGGGGTATTTCAAGTCCTAACAGAAAACCTCTAACCTAGACTGATGTATCCTACAAAACTCTTTTAAAATGGATGGGAAATCCTGGTACCAAAACAAAACAAAAATAAAATGGATGGGGGGGGGGTCTGGGGATTTAGCTCAGTGGTTCTGCTGCCTGCTTTGCAAGTGCAAGGTCCTGAATTCAATCCCTGGTACCAAAAAAAAAAAAAAAAAAAAAAAAACCTAAACCAAACCAAACAAAAATAAACAAAACTAATATTGGGCCAGGGATTTAGCTCAGTGGTTCTGCTGTCTGCCTTATAAGCACAAGACCTGAGTTCGATCACTGGTACCAAAAAAAAAAAAAAATTCTTTAAAATGGATGGTTAAATAAGGTACTTCCATGACAAAGAACACCTGAGAAATTTCATGAATACCAAACCAGCACTACAAGGAATTCTAAACAATATCCTAGAAAAAGACAATGAAAGTCACAACTCAGTGAGGCCTAACAGAGTAAATCAATTAGGCAAAGCGAGAAACTAAAGGGAGGGGGAAAAATAAAAAAGAGCCAAAAACAGGAAAATAACATGACATTGATAAGTCAATACATATCAGTTATAACCATCAATGTCAATTGCCTCAATTCACCAATCAAAAAAAAAAATAGACTGGCAGAATGGATTAAGAAGCAAAATCCAACAATACGTTTTATACAAAAAATACATCTAGTTCAAAAAGAAACTCATAGCCAGGCGTGGTGGCACACGCCTGTAATCCCAGCACTAGGGAGACTGAGGCAGGAGGATTGCTGTGAGTTGGAGACCAGCCTGGGCTGCATAGTGAATTCCAGGGCAGTCTCAAGTACATAGTGAGACCCTGTCTCAAAAACCAAAAAAAAAAAACAAAAACAAAAACAAAAAGAAACTCATAGGCTGTTAGTGAAAAGATGGAAAACAATTCTCCATGCCACAGGAGCCCAGAAAAAAGCATGGCTAGCTATCTTATTCACAGACAAAGTAAATTTCAAACCAAAACTGATTAAGAGAGACAAGGCCACTACAACCTTGTAAAGGATACAATCCAAGAGGAAGAGATGACAGTCATAAATATATATGCACCAAATGTTAATGCCCCCAACTATATAAAACAAATAATAAGGGACATGAAAAACCAAATAAGCACTCATACAATTGTAGTAGGGGACTGCAATACCCCACTGTCACAATGAGACAGATCATCTGGACAAAAAAATCAACAAAGAAATACTAGAACTGAACCACACTTTTGAACAAATGGACTTAATAGACATCTGCAGAGTGTTCCACCCCACAAAATCAGAATGTACATTATTTTTGCCTGCACATGGGTCATCCTCCAAAATAAACCACATATTAGCTCATATAATATGTTTAAATAAATGCAAAGGAATCAAAGTTAACCCATATATACTATCAGACCATAATGCAGTTAAGCTGGAGATCAATAGCATAAGAAACCGTAAAAACTTCACAAACACGGAAATTGAACAACACTCTGCTGAACAATCAGTGGGTCACAGAGGAAATTAAAGAAGAAAGTCAGTTTTTACAAAGAAATGATAATGCCAGTACAACATATAGGAATCTATAGGACACAATGAAAGCAGTTCTATGTGGAAAAGTCATAGCAGTGAATGCCCACACTAGGAAAACAGAGCAAGCTCAAATAAAGAACCTAATAATGAATCTTAGGCTCCTAGAAAAAGAAGAGCAAGAAAAACCCAAAGCTTATACAAGGGAAGAAATTATAAAGATCAGAGCAGAAATCAATGCAATGGAAAGTAAGAAAATGATATAAAAAAATCAGTGAATCAAGTTGGCTTTTCAAAAGAATAAATAAAATCAATAAACCCTTAGCCAACCTTGACAAAAAAGGGAAAGAAAAGGGTCAGATCCATGCAATTAGGAACGAAAAAGGTGACGTCACAACAGATCCAGCAGAAATCCAGAGGATCAATACCTACTTCAAGAACCTGTACTCTAATAAAATGGAAAAACAGAAGAAATAGACAGATTTCCAGATACTTATGAATTGCCAAAGTTGAACAAAGAAGATAAAAAAGTCTAAACACCCCAATTACAATCAGTGAAACTGAAAATGTAATTAAAAATTTACCAATGAAGAAAAGTCCAGGTCCTGATGGGTTCACTGCTGAATTCTACAAGACATGTAGAGACAAACTACTGCCACTACTATTTAAACTTTTCAGTGAAAATGAAAGGGAAGAAGCAATACTTCCAGATTCATTCCTGGACACAAGTATTACTTTGATTCCAAAACCAGGGAAAGACCCAACCAAAAAAGAGAACTACAGGCCAATCTCCTTAAACAACATAGATGCAAATATCCTCAATAAGATACTGGCAAACAGAATACAGAGGATCATCAAGATCATACACCTTAGATAAGTCAGATTTATTCCAGGAATGCAAGGATGGTCCAGCTACCTCATCTTTGACAAAGGAGCCAACCATCCTCAGTGGAGGAAAGATAGCCTCTTTAATGAATTGTGTTGGAAAAACTGGATTTCAAACTGCCAAAGATTAAAACAAGACCGTTATCTTTCACCATACACTAAAGTAAAATCTAAGTGGATTAAAGATTTAAATATTAAAACAGAAACACTAAACTTGCCAGAAGATAACTCTTGAAGACACGGGCATAGGAAAATACTTTATGAACAAATCCTCAGTAGCACAGGAACTAGCACAAAGAATCAACAACTGGGATCTCATCTTATTAAAAAGTTTCTGCACTGCAAGAGAAACCACCAGCAGAGTTAAGAGAAAACATACGATGTGGGAAAATAATTTCACCAGCTACTCTTCAGACAAAGAACTACTATCTAAATTATATAAAAAAACTCAAAAAAATCAGACAACCCCCCCCAAATACAAAGACCCAATTCAAAAATGGGCATCTAGCCGGGGATTTAGCTCAGTGGTTCGGTGGCCTGCCTTGCAAGCGCAAGGACCTGAGTTCAATCCCCGGTACCAAAAAAAAAAAAAAAAAAAATGGGCATCTGAAATGAACAGGCATTTCTCAGACAAAGATGTAAAAGCAGGAAATAAATATATGAAAAGATATTCAACATCACTGGTCATTCAAGAGATGCAGATGAAAACAACACTGAGATTCCACCTCACCCCACAAAGAATGGCTGCTATCAAAAAATCAACCAATAACAAATGCTGGTGGTGTTGTGTGGAGAAAGTAACCCTTCTCCATTGTTGGTGGGAGTGCAGACTGGTGCAACCACTGTGGAAATCAATATGGAGATACCTTAAAGAACTAGGATTAGAGGTTCCATTTGACCTAGCTATCCCTCTCCTGGGATCTTTCCAAAAGAATTAAAAGAATCATACTGCAGCGATATATGTGCACCCATATTTATAGCCATAAAGAATGAGAAACTAGAAATATTTATAGCTAAATGGATACACATTGAGGCTATATTCTTAAATGAAATAAATAGGACACATGAGTACATAGCTAATAGTTCCTCAGGTGCAAAAAACTAAAAGTGTAAATAAGGTTCAAATGGTATAATTGGGAGTGTGAAATAGGAAGAAAATGGCTAAAGGGGAAGTGGGAAGGGGTTGGGAAAGGAAATAAGGGAAAAGAAAAAATGGAAACAAAGTCTTTGGGAAGGGAGGAGGGGGTGAAGGGAGGGCAGGGACAAGGGGAAAAAATGAGAATCAAGACCTGTCATGTAAAGGTACAAGATCCCAATGATGAATATAACTGTACTGTATACCTAAAATGTACCAATAAATTTAATGAAAAAAAAACAAATAGGGTATGCGAATGCATGTGATCTACTTGTTTTAACATCTCATAAGAAAATTATGACCACTTAAGAATTATTAGGAAGCCTAATACTGTATCAGTATGATCATTGTAAGCCTAACTCCTTTAATGGCACTTATTAAATTATGGTTCTCTTTTTATTGAAAAAAAATGTCAACATGTAGTAGTTGTACACATGTATGGAGTACAGTGTGCTAATTTGATAGATTCATAGAATGTGCAGTGGTCAAGTCAGGGTAATTACCACTTCCATCTCCGTAAACACTTGTCATTTCTTTGTGTTTGGAAACTGAATTTCTCTTTCTTGGTTATCTATAAAATACATAATAAATTGTAAACTATAGCTATCCTACTATGTTTTAGTAGAACACTAAAACATACGCCTCCTATATAATGGCAATTTGGCATCTACTATCTGACCTCCCTTTACCCTCCACTCCCTTCCTAGCCTTTTATGGTTTTCTTTTTTGTTGCATATAATTGTGGTGTTTTAGGTTAACGTTATATGGCAAGATGCCATATAAAATACATCTTTTTTCAAATTGGGGTAAATCAAACAAAAATATTCAACATATTACAGAAGCTCGTTGGGAAACTAAAATATAGAGGCAGGAGTGGGTCCTACAACCAGCCCCAGCTTCCTTTCTGCTCCGCCCACTGGGACTCCAAGACTTAGATTAAAAGTACAAATCCGGGGAGGAGAAGAGGAGCTGGATCTGAGGTCGAAGCAGGCTGAAATGAGCCCAGCTTTATTGCCCACTGGTTCTGTGCTTCCACCCAGGTCATGGCAGACAGGCAGGCCCAGGAGCTCAGGTCTTTCCCAGCCCTCCACAAGTGGGCCACCTTGTGGCCTAGATGTGCACTGCCTCGTGTTCCAGCCCTACTTGTCCGCTCATCTCTGGGACTGACGCTGTTATTCTTTGCCGTGAACTGCCTGGTCAACCCCATGCATGGTACCAGTGGTTTCTCGACTTCTGTCTCCATCCTAAACTTTCTCTGAAATTGAAAACGTGGATTTGGAATTATCTCCTGGATACTTTGTGACTGCTAGACATTTAAAGGAATGCCTATCAAATTCACACAGATAGTTGAAGCCATAATTGAGAATAAGATCGTCTAGGGAGAAGTTGCAAAAGAAAGAGAAGCTGGGATTAAACCTTTAGAAACAACGTTTTACAGAGGAGGATGTGCTGGCAAAGGAGACTGAAAAGGAGTGGCTGGGAAGGAGCGAGAAAAGGCAGGAGCATATGGCCTGAAAGAAAATGCTTTTACGCAGAGAACGGCAGGCACCATCCCTCCAGTCCCAGCATTCTGGGAGCCTGAGGCAGGAGGATCATAAATCTGAGCTCAGCCTGATTAACTTAGCAATTTAGTCAGACCATGTCTCAAAAAAGAAGAAGGGGAAAGGGAAGAAATATATGGTGAGCGAATTCATATGTGGATGAGACTTCAAACAAGGGGAAGACTAAATATTTCATTTGATTGTGTGAGTGATATGCAGGCAGAAACCAGTGAGCTGCGGAGCATGTTGAACAAGGCAAAGAAATCGAGAGAGCAAGTTCCAGCAATTCATTCCACAGGCTGGGCCTGAAAGGAGGGAAGGCCTTGCAGCTGAACGTGTTAATGTTGATGGGAAATAACAGCAAAGGAGAATATAACTAACAGCAGATGGGATAAACCCAGACGGAAGGTTTAAGAAAGGCAGGAGAGGCTGTCTTCTCTTGCAAAAGGGGTGACAGACCAGAAAGGGCGACCTCCTCCGTCACAGTTGGAGAGATAAAGACGAGCTGGAGGTTCAGTGGCAATCTTGAGGACATTTTCTGCTGTGGCCTCTGTTCTCTGTGGAAAATAGGGTCACCTGCTAAGAACAAGAAGGGAAGTGGCAGTATGGGAGGTTGGGATAATGAGAACAAATCTGGAAAGCAGTTGTGGAAATGGAAGAGTCAGAAACTGTCATTTGCTGAAGGTGTGTGTGTTCTCGCTGTCACCGAGTGCAGGGCCCGAAATCATGCATTCTCCTGCAGGATTCCTATGGGGCAGAAGGACAGAGGAGTACAGGAGCTTAAGATATATTGATGGTCAAGAAAATGACTGAAATAATGGAAGGTCGAAACCAAATGGAATCGCTAAGCAAATAAAGGCAGTCCAGGGTTAATGGATTGGGGGAAAGAGAGGTCAGTGTACTGGACCTCCAAAAATAAAGGAAAAAAGCAGTCTTGCTGTTATGAAATAAATAACCTCAAAGGGGAGGAGGCTGTACTGGATTCCAGGATGCCTGAATATGAGAGGTTGGCAGTGAATGACTTAAGTGCAAGCACATGTGAGCCTGGGTTTCAGTGTCTGAGTTGGAGCAGAGGGAAAGGGCCCTGTTGGGATGAAGCCATGAGACTGGGGTTCATCCACGACGATGGCTGACCCACTGAGACGGTCACAGGAACACAGAGGAGCTTGAGGAACCAGGACCAAGCGCGTGGATGCAGGGTGGTAGGCAGGTGACAGGGAGAGGAGGTGGATAAGCTGCCACCACATTGACTTAAAAGCCAGAGGACAGAGATGCACCAGAAAGCAAAAGCAGCAACGTAGGACACCCACCCAGCTCCCATATGAGCAGGAGCAGGTCCCCCGTGGTCCACGCAAAAGGATGCTGCTGTCTTTCAACGGTGATGCTAGTGTCAGGGTCCAAATTAAAGATAAATAAATAACACATTCATAGGGAATCTGCAGAAATATTAGAAGAGCAGTGTTACAATTGCAGATGTTTAGCCAAGTGAAAAGTTAGTTGTTTTGTTTTATCCCTCTTAGCATATTACCTCACATAAGCCAATAATTAGCAAATATTTTAAAACGTTCTTAAGATCGTGTTGGGAATTATTTGTTTTCATTTTGTTAACCTATGCTTTCTCAACCTTGGCACTGCTTACATTTTGGGCCAGATAATTATTTGTTGTTCTGCTCACTGTATGATAATAGTATTCCTGGTATCCCTGTTCACTAGATGTCACCCGCACCCCCTGCCTAAGACAGCCAGGATGTGTAGATATTGCTGTACATCACCTAGAGGGCAGAGTTGCCTCCTATTGAGAGCCATTATGTTTATTTCCTTTTATTTCTAAATTTGTGAACCTTTCTTTTTGGTACCGGGATTGAACTCAGGACCTTGCACTTATGAGGCAGGTGGGGGCACCACTGAGCTAAATCCCCAGCCCCTATTTCTAAATTTGTCTGTGTCTCTGTTCTTAAGATCCTTATAGCTAGGGACAGGCTCAAAGTAAATATGTAGTGAGTACTTGCATCTAATTACAGATATAACACTTTACATGTGAGAAGCATTTCTAAAATCCTATGCAACTCACATTTAGACAGTTGAATATTTTAAATGCATGAAGCAAGCTCCTGTAAAGTGAAGAACTAACATGTATTTTATGGCTCAGATGTGTTATACTGGGTTTTTTTTTTAAGCAGAGTGTTTTTGGTTAGTGTTAGTTTTATATAAAAGAAAAAGATAACAGCTAAATTTGGATTATCTTTGGTCGCAGGTTTAAAATTCAGTAGAAGGTGTTGAGTTGTCCTGAGGCTCTAGTTTCACTCCAAAAGAGTTTCTTTTGTATAGTTTATAATTATTTCATTGCAGTGACTAATTCGTGGCTCGGGGAAATAAATGATAATTGTAAATGGATGAATTCAGATGTAAACACCAATTATACTTTAAATCGTTTTCCTGACTCATGTCTTCTTTGAATTAAGGTTTAAAACCGACTGTGGCCCTCTGTCAGCAAAAGTGTAGACGGGCAGGGACTCTGGAGAGCAATTATTGTTCAAGCAACTTTGGTAAGAAATAAAACCAGGCTTTTCTCTTTAATCAGAAACTTGAGACTACCTGCTTAGTCTCAAAGGAATTCCCACAAAATTAATGATGAAGAGTCAGTAACGCAAGAAAATATACAATAGGTTGTGTTGTGCTATTCAAACTATTAGATTTCAAAGATGAGAAAAATAAGTTCAGAAAATTTGCTTTTTTCACATGTTTAATAATTTGATTCTTGATCCATGATACTGCTACTCCGTAGTCTGTTAACTGCTCCTGAAAATACATATATCCTTTGTTCCTCACATATTTTTCATGTTCCAAGTGTTTTTTCACACATCTGTAATTTGGCTGAAGTGCATTAAAAACATAGCCAAGCTTACATTTAGAAGCTGGTCTCTCTCAAGAAATTCAAGCATTTCCTCTTTGGTATTTTTCCAGAATATCAAATTTAAGCCTGGAAATCTGAAGTCCATTTTAGAAACTCTTAGAAATTGGAACCAGAGGAGATTGTACTTAATGAAATTAAAAGATTTCACTGTATGAAAACTACTTAAGAACAAAAGATACTAAATTTGGTTATGTTGGTTAGTTTTTAAAGCAGCTTAACATTAACGTTTAAGTAGAAGTCTTCACAGAAAAAGAAAGTTGCTATAGCAACTTACCCAAAACAAAGGGCCTCCTCCAGAGAGGTCTTTGCTTTTTGGGTGCCTTGAAGCAGTAATTGTTGGCAGCCCAGTGGGCTGTTTTATAGTGAAAATGCAAACTCACTGGAGTCTGGGGCCCTAAATTTTACTGCAGTTTGCATGCTGAAATGCAAATACTTGGCATATAAATGAAAACAAATAGTGCCAGGTGTCATTGCTACCATATCCTGAACCACTGTAGCTGGTTCAGAAAATCCCCATACTGGACCTTGGGAGCCTCCTGATTTCACCTGGCTACAGACTGACATTCTGTAGTGAACATTCATCACCAGGAATCAGAGTAAGACACAGTAAGAATTCAGATGTTAGGAACTTGGCAAATTACATAAGCCGTGAGTGCTTACTTTATCTGGAAGGGATCATTTTAGATGAGTCCACAATTTGATCTTCCCATTAATTGTGCTTCATTTACATGGCACAGTGGCCAAATGCAATCATGTGTGACCCAGAGCCTTCAAGACAGAGTTGGTAACATTCCTTGGGGCAGTTTTTGGTTGTCTCAGTAACTGGGATGTTATACTGATTTTTTACTTGACAGGGACACAGCTGGTTAAAAAAAAAAAAAAAAAAAAAGTCACGCAGTGCAAGCCCTACACCAAAAGGAATTGTGCCCCTCAACCTCCTAAAATTCAAACAGCATCCCCCTCCTTCAAAAAAGACATTTTTCCCTGTGTGACTCAAAACTATTCTTTGTCACAATGGGGGGGGGGCTATATAAGGGAAATAGGCTGAATTTTCCTTTTTTTTAACACAAGAAAATGTTTTGAGTTTTACTTCAGGTCTATACTTTGAAATGAGATAAACAGGGTAGATAAGAAATGATATAGAAAAACCAGACAAAGACAGATTTTCTGATCAATAGAGTGTGTCACCCTCCTGGGGTGAACAAAGGCTGAAAAAGGACAGCTAGAGTGGATCTGGGGAAGAGACACTCAGCCATCCAGACACAAACGTCCTGTGCTTCACCCTCTTAGTGTGGGATTGCCTGGAAAGATTCAAAGTCTTAAGTATTCTCATAAGCAGCTGCTTTATTTGATGACTGACCCTTGTGTTGGATAGAACATTTTAAAGAGTCATCGTCTCAGCAACAGACTGCAATGAGGCAAGTATTTAGGTTTCTCTTCAAGTTATTAACTACTAAAAACCAGAGAAATATTACAACCCCTAGAGACTTTTTTTCAGCCTGAAGTTTGAGGATAAATATTCAGAATCAAATTCGAGAACTCAATGAGGGCCTTTTCTTTAACATTAAAATGTTTCATTTCTGAAAACTGGAAGATAAAATTATTTTCAGTTATCGTTGTCTTTGCTTCACTGTTGCGTTATCCACACCTTTTCCTCTGCAGTATTAGTTGGCGCTGTTATCACAACCACTCCGCGGGGTGAGAGTTTGCAGGCCACTATCTCAATCATCAACATCTATAAAGAGGGAAACCTGGCAATTCAGCAGGCTGGCAAGAACATGAGTGCCAAGGTTACGGTGGTCTGCAAGCAGTGCCCCCTCCTCAGAAGAGGTAAGGAGAAAAGCTCTTTCTGCAGGGGAACAGAGTCAGAGAAGGGAAGGAGGGAGCCTTGAGATTGAGAGGGAGCCTTTGGAGCCAGGCAGAATTATGCTGTATCCTCGTTCTTAAGTCTTGTGCAAAAAGAGGTGGTGGAAGCCAGGTGTGGTGGTGCACACCTGTAATGCCAGCACTCTGGGAGGGTAAGGCAGGAGGATCATGAGTTTGAGCCCAGCCTGGTTAATTTAGTGACTTAGGAAGACCGTGCCTAAAAATAAATCGAAAATTTTAGAGGGTTAGGGATGTAGCTCAGCACAAAGGCCCTGGGTTCAATCCTCAATGCCTAAAACAAAACAAAACAAAACAAAAAAGCTAGAAATGATGAATGAGTCCCAGAGCATATAAAGTTGAATCATAGTTAATAGAGTCTGAAGGGAGAAAGATTTTAGATTATTGCACTTCAGTTGCCACTACTGTGTTTAGAGGAAATCATGAAGCACACAGAGGGAATGCAGAGCTGAACTTGAGATGAGAAAGTGATATTCTGGACTAGAATTAAAAATTTCCAAAACATTTGCAGAAATGGGGCCATTAAATGTGTGGAAGGGACTGACTGCCCCACATGGGTTCCATGTATTAGCAGAAATGGAGTATGTTACTGGTTAAATCTAGCCTTTTTCTAGAGAGTGCTAATCCTAGTGATTTTATCTTAGGGTGAATAAGTGTGTGATTATATCATTTACAGAAAAGAAAATTTATTCAGAGGTGAGTTGTAGTCTGTTGTTTTTGAGAACACGCATAAAGAAAAAGATTTACTTTATATTTTCTTTCTTTAGGTCTAAATTACATCGTTATGGGCCAAGTGGGTGAAGATGGGCAAGGCAAGGTCATGCCAAATAGCTTTGTCATGATATTCAAGACCAAGAATCAGAAGCTTTTGAATGCTTTAAAAAACAAGCAATGTTAACAGTGAACTGTGTCCTTTTAAGCTGCATTCTGTTGTTGCCTTTGAAAGATCTGTCTTCCCTAAGTAGCAGAAAACCCATATGATTTAACATTGAGCGTTCTGAAAGGCTGGACTTCTTCACTCTTCACATGATGTAGGTATGAGACCTCCGAAGACACTGGTGCAATTCTGAGCCTGCACCTAGAAGAGCAGAGCTGAAAACCGGCTGACTTAGTGCAGTGATAGGAAACTCACGGAATCAAGTGTTGACAGCTTGGAAGCAGTTTATTTGTACATCTCTGCAAAAGGATAGTATGAATTGTGTGAAGGTATAAAAAGATTTTATAAGTGCAATATTTATAATGATAGGTGTTTTACCTTCAAGTCTTTGCTTTGAGGTGTTACGTTCTCTTGCATTGTTTTTTCATTAAATTTATGGGTACATTTTAGGTATACAGTACAGTTGCATTCATCATTGGGATCTTGTACCTTTATATGATGTATCTTGGTTATTTTTCCCCATACCCCTGCCCTCCCTTGAGGGAAATATTTACAAAAAAAGACTTTGTTTCCATTTTTTCCTTTTCTCATATTTTTTCTTTTTTCTTCTCTTGCATTTTTAAGTCAGTGCTTAATAAAATATTTTTAAATGATTACATAGCAGCCGTTAAGCTTGTTCTTATGCAGAATGGGACATTTTTGTAAAAACTCCCTTTTAGTAAGGATATTATTTCTAGATAAGATTGTCTTTGTATCAGTTTACTCTTTATTAAGAGTTAGCATTCTAGGCCAGGGATGTAGCTCAGTGGTGCCACCGCCTAGCTCACAAGTTCAAGGTCTTGAGTTCGATTCCCCCCACCCGTCCAAAAAAAAGAGCATTCTAAACCTTGTAGGGACTGGATGGATCCAATAATATCAATAGACTAATTTCCCTCTGCAAAAGCAGAGAATATCAGAGCTGGAATGCTGTCCCTCAGGCATCTAGTCCAGACTTCTTTATTTTGTAGCTGAAATGGGAGCTTTGATATATTTAGTGACTTGCCAAGAATACATCTGCCCAGAAACAGTTACCTAAGAGTCCTAGCCCAAACCCAATACGGTCACTGACACAGAATAAGCCCTCCCCACCCCAGCTAAAGCCCTCCTACCCTGACTGGCAGTATTCAGCAATAGGTATCAGGCTCATATTTGGTATTCTAAATAATAATTTCTCGTTTTACTTGAAGCTATAAGTAAGCCTTCACTCTTCATATACAGTGTCTGTATATCAACGAAAATGCATTCTAACATTGCTTTTGAAAAATCTATTTTCAGTCAGTGGAAGAATATGAAAGAACTCCATGTTAGCTGTTCATTGTGACAAATACTGGACATAAATCAACTTGAAGGAAAGATTTATTTTGGTTCACAGTTTCAGAGTTTTAGTCCATGGTCCACTGACTCCATGGCTTTTAGGCCTGCGGCAAGGCAAAGACATCATGGTGGAAAAGTGTGGTGGGCAAGACTGCTCATGAGCAGCCAGAAAGCAAGAGAGAGAGGGAAAGACCCACAGGGAAGGGGCTCCAAGGTCACATCTTGAGCCCACTCCCTTCAACTAGGCCTTACCTTACCAAGTCTTCATCACTTCCCATAATGCCATCAAATTATGAATCCACCAATGGACAAATCCATTGATAAAGTGAGAGCCCTGGTAGTCCAGTTGATACAGGGAAATAAAATTTTAAAAAATGTGGAGCTTATCCGTAATTTAAATTGGTTGACATGATTTTTAAAAAATATGTATTTACCTTCTACACAAAACAGTTTTACCTCATATTACTATAATTTTTTTTTTTGAGCCTTACCTTAAAGTCTTCATCACTTCCCATAATGCCATCAAATTATGAATCCACCAATGGACAAATCCATTGATAAAGTGAGAGCCCTGGTAGTCCAGTTGATACAGGGAAATAAAATTTTAAAAAATGTGGAGCTTATCTCCGAACTTCCAGATGAAACATTCAGACCAGCATTATTCCCAATTGTCTTAGTAACTTTTCTCATTGCTGAGACAAAATTCCCAACACCCGAAGTTAAAGGAGGAAAAGTTTGTTTGGCTCACAGTTTGTAGAGGTTCTGGTCCATAATTGGTAGCTTCAAGGCAGGATAGCATGGCACAGGGGCATCACAGAAAAGAAACATGGTGGGCAGAAGCAAGCAAGCAAGCAAGCAAGGGACCTTAGCAGCTTCGTTTTTCTCCCTTTTATACTCTTGTCTAAACTACTTGGATTATATGTTGGTGCCAAACCAATCAGTGGGCTGATTTAGTAATAACACAGCCTTGATTCCAGCATCACACACTGTAGATTCAGCCACCTCTGAAAAAGTCCCACCTATGACTGCATGAAGCTTTGGGGGCACATCTAGACACAAACCATAACGCTGATACTGTTAGTATTTTCTTAGGTTAATTATAAATAATTAGACCTAGTTGGTTTACTCTGCAGAGCCTATAACCTCAGCCTATTTTGTATTTCATAAACATATTTTCTGAGGAAAATTATAATTTAATACAGTCTAAAGCAGTGGTGGTGAACCTATAGCACATGCGCCACAGCCAGGTGTTTTTCACTGAAAGCGCTAAAAGGCTCACCATCACTGGTCTAAAGAATAAAAAGTTCTGTTTATCAAGAAGAGGTAAAGAGTATTAATGAGATCAAGGGAAGCCCCAATCTTATCATTTTTCAAGAAAGACCAATGATGATTAGTACTTGGGTATGTGTGTCTCTCAACCAATTAACAAAAACCTCTAATTACATTTAGGAAAAACGTTAATCTGAATGAAATGAAATCTGAACACAATACGAAATGATCAAATATACTGGTCTTCACTGGGGTGGCATGGAAGGTTTCTATTTACTTTTGAAATAATTAAAATATAATACCATTAGCCTTCAGTATTAAAGTATAGGACTGATTATGTTTCCCAGAATTCCCTTCCTTGTATGCTTCCATTTAAGGCAGACTACAAGAAACAATTTAAGGCCGGAGATTTGGCTTAGTGGTTCCACCACCTGCCTCGCAAGTGCAAGGGCCCAAATTTAATCCCGGTACCAAAAAAAAAAAAGAAACAATTTAGTGAGACCTGGAAAAGCAGCAACTATCTTTTTGTTTATGCAGGCACTTTGGTAACTCACACCTGTACACATTTGTTGATTCACCTTGTGCTGACACTGGGCAGCAGTTGTTTCATTTTTCCTTAGATTCTTCTGCTTCTCCAATTCCTGAACTGTGTGTTCAGCAACACACATCCAAAGGCCAGCAGCAAAAGGCAACAGGGTATCATATCATGTGGTTGGAGACTTAAGAAGTGCCGTGGGTCTCTATCCATCTTGCCCTTGCTCTCTCTTTTTTATGTCTTTCCTTCTCAGTCACCTACCCTGTGCACTTTGAGCTCCAAAAACTAGATGCAAATGTAGTAGCCTTGCAGAGACTGCTTACCAACTCCATCAAGTGTATAATGTCACATACCTATAAACAAATCACTACACACACAGCAAATATCCTAAAAACTGTGCTTCTCCGATCCAACTCTTATTCCTCTTTACTGACAAGTAGATTTCCATCGTATGAATGTACAACTTATTTATCCACCCACAAGTTGATGGACATTTAGTTGTTTTCAGTTTGGGACCATGAATAAAGCTTTGATGAACAATTACATACAAGTCTTTGTGTGGACATATTTCAAAATGTGAGTATACATAAAAATAAGAGGAAATCGCTAAGTTAAATGTGATTGCCACTGGAGAGAGGAAGGGGAGCAAAGGGAGTCTGGTAATGTTTTGCATCTTATGTATTTGTTATCCTAAGTTTAAAAATACCCACTAGTTGTACATTCTAAAAGGATAAATTCTGTGGTATGTGGATTATATCTCAATTTTTAAAGTGTATGATAACACAATGGACAGACTATATCAATTTATAATCTAATATCATTTTATTCATCTTTTTTCTTACAATATGCTGTCATTCAAAATATACCTCAAAGGTAACTCATGCATATAGTAGGCACTCTATAAATATTTTAATAATTAGGTATTTTTTAGAATGACTAAAAATCCTGATGTAAAATCCCAATTGGGAAATGCATAATCCCATTGTAGACAAAATATATAACTTTACAATAAACATTTTATAACAATTTGCCCAAAAGAGGGAACACTAAAAATATGGAAATTAAAAAATTAAAATTAAAAAGCAAGACAAAACATAATACTAACATATTTAGACAATGATCCCTGGATCGCTGGTGCTTATAGACCAAGGGCTACCTGCACCCTGTGGCCTTAAGACCATCTGACATTCAGTTAAGAAGATAATTATATACCTAATTTCTTCTTAACTGGAAATGCTACAAGAATATATAAGCAATAGTGAAAAATTTTAGCTATAACCCTTCTGTGAATACAGAAAAAAATTAAATATATATTTTATTCTCAAATTTAATTTTTGGGGGGTGGTACTGGGGATTGAACTCGGGACCTTGCTCTTGCAAGACAGGCAACAGAACCACTGAGCTAAATCCCCAGCTCTGATTCTCAAATTTAAAAACAACAACACTCTTCATCTTAAGCAGCAAGAATGAGCCACAAATAAGCATGAAGTCACTTTTATACATGCTATGTTAAATTCTATGGAAAATACTATGGGAGATAAGCTCAAGAACCTCAATTCCAATAAAAAAAACCCTCAATTCCAACATAAAACAAATTCTTGCATAAGGGGTCTTTCAATGTTTTCCAAAACTAAAACAGGCTTTGACACACATAATAAAGAAGTATCTTCTATTTTATAGTTACAAATATTCACTCCCACTTGAAAAAATTATAGCACTATTCTGATAAGTAAAACTTTAAAAGCAATGAAATGCCCAGAAAAGTAACTATGCAAACTCATAAACAAATATTCTATGGCTATAAAGTAAAAACATCTACTATGTTTTTCAAAAACTGTATAATTCTATAAAAATTTAAATACATGGACTACACCAACATACATGGAAATATACATGTATATAAAATACTGTTAAGTGAAAAAAATTTAAAATATAAAATAATTATAACCATGAAAAAGTATATTACAATAACAAAAAGCAAAGCAAATTTATATTGAGAGACAGATTCAAATTATTTATTAGATTTTTCTCTTTTTTGCTTAAGATTATAACAAAACAAGAAAGCAAAAACAGACTCTGACGTTAGATAAAACTATACTCCTGAACAGTAAGTACTGAACTATATGTGAACTCCTAAAACAGAGATTTTAAAAACCGTAACTTGTATGTTTCAAGTGTATCCTATGGTCAAAAGATCAGCCCACATTTGTTGTTTTTCATTTTAATGTACTCCTAAAACAGAGATTTTAAAAACCGTAACTTGTATGTTTCAAGTGTATCCTATGGTCAAAAGATCAGCCCACATTTGTTGTTTTTCATTTTACAAAAGCTTCTAGACACTGTATACATTTACCTCTGTTCTTTTTCTTTTTTTTTTGATACCAGAGTCTGAACTTGGGACCTTGTGCTTGCAAGGCAGGCATGGGTTCCACTGAGCCAAATCCCAGGGCCTGTAACCGTTCTTCTTTAACAACATAACATTTTAAAGCACTGTCCAATTAAGAAAACAAAGCTGCATGCTAACAACAACAGCAAAAAAACTATCCACTTAATTTGTTTTGCTCTTGCAAAAAATCATTGACAAGTTTTAAAAAACTAATTCTATGTACATATTTTACATTTTTATGCTACAAATATTTTAAAGAATGGCTTTCACATAATTATTTAGTTCAATATATATATTATTGGTTTAACTGCAAGTTATGTAAATAGTGTTTCAGATTTGCTATTGAAAATTATTTTCTACAAGATTTAGAAAATGGTTAATTTCTTGGGTAAAACATAGCATATTTAGAAGTCCGAAAGCCAAGCAAATCCCTTATTTCATTTCGGAATTTAGACAAATCTTGGCGTAGTTCATTTAGATTTTCCACAGTTGCCTGATCTGTGCTTTGCATCTTCTGTCTCATGGAAGTCAAGTAACGATGCACTAAACAGCACATCACTTTTTGGTAGTTTTCATCTCTCTTTTGTTTCAAATTTCTCCATTCCTTCAAAATAAATAATAATATAGATACTAACAATATGCAGAAACTATATTTTTTTTTTTTAATTTTTTTCCCCAGTGCTGAGGATCAAACCTAGGGCTTTATGCATGCTAGGCAAGCACTCTACCATTAAATTACATCCCTGTCACAGAAACAATGCTTAAGTAAGGTAGTTTTTAAAATATTCTGATATAAACACATCTTTTAATGCTGTATTAAGTGATAATTTTGCTATAATGTGACACAAAATAATGTTTAACACGTTTTAGATAGCCTGCATATTTATTTTATATGTCTCCTTTTAGCTTATCTTGATTATTAAAAAATTAGTCTTAGAAATCTTCAGCTTATAGCAGGTTTTAACAAACCATGACCCACAAGGTAATATGGGCCACTGTCTTTTTTTTTTTTTTTTTTTTTTTTTTTTGGTAATAACATGCTAGCTAAGGATGGCTTTTACAGATGAACATTTGCAATAAAATTTATCACAGGCCACACTCTAATTTTAAGACCTAATCAAGCAAAAATTTTATCCCTAATACAAGGAATTCTGTTCTTCTGATTAGCAGACTTGTATCACAAAGATCATTACACAATCAGTGTACTATTGTATTTTCAATTTAATCAATAAAGTTTTGTGAAAATTTTTCTTCTCTTTGTCATTATCACTGCTCACACAGTATCTCCATTTGTCCTGGCAGGCAAAGTGTGGAATATTTACTCTGCTGTGTTTTTACAGGAAAAGCCTGTCAACCCCTGGATTGTAAGCAACATGAATTGAGTTATTAATGTACTGAAAAATTTTCAAGAATTACAAAAAAGCTGATTCAAATAGTCTTGGGGAGAGGGTCTCACGATGTAGTTTAGACTGGCCTTGAACTCACTATGTAACCTAGACTGGCTTTGAACTTGTGATGATCTGCCTTCCCCAGCCCCACAAATGCCACTAGGCTCAGCTAAAGTAGTCATATTTTATCTACAGTGAAAGAACAGATATTCTGAGATATCTTCCATGTTTTCAAACTATGAAATTTCATTGACCAGGGAAATTTGAAAACAAACAAGTTTTAGTTCTTTCATTCTCAAATATTTATTGAATCCTTCATGTCAGATACTATCCCATGCATTCGAGATAAACAGTGGGAAAAACACACCAGTTATAGCCCTTAAAGACTTTGCATATTAATGCTTGAAGAAACTTAGGAGTTGGTAAAACTTCTATTTTGCAACTGAAACTTCCACTTTCTTACCTTTAAACTGTTTTGCCGTTTGACCTTGCCTTTTGAGGTATGAGAGCAAATCCACTTACTGAGGCTACTAATCATATAGCAAATAGTCTTTGGTGAAGGAATGATGTTGAAAGGTGGGGGTAACGTACATTTGTCATCAAAGTAGCTAAGCCACAACTTTGCACGAGCAAATTTCCATTCTTTGTCTTCATGATTCTATAAAAGGCAAATGAAAAGCAATATAAAATATGAATACACATGCATGCCCATGCACGCGCGCGCACACACACACACACACACACACACACACACATACACACACACAGGAAGATGGGCCAGAGCGGACAGCAACAGATACTGACTAGTTCCCCAACTTGTAGATGAAACGTTGGCTCAAGATCTGCCACTATTATACAATTTAGAAATCCTTAATTTTTATTTATTTATTTATTTTGGTACCAGGGATTGAACTCGGGTCCTTGTGCTTACAAGGCAGGCCACCGAACCACTGAGCTAAATCCCCGGCCCTCTTAATTTTTAAATGATATATTTTTCTTAATTCTTAAAAACTTCAATTATTTTACCTATTGCATACATTCAATACGGAACATAAAGGTTTAAAACAATGAATACTTACTGCTATTAACTGAAAGCTTTTATGAAGCATTGCTACCAGCAGCTTTGTAAGCACAATGACAACTACAACATTGTAGGTACCAACAATAACAGCTCCAACAAAGGATTGCAATTCTTCGCCATAGCTAAATCTTGTGACAAAGATTGCCACATGTGCCAAGGAGAAAATATACCAGAACAAAGCAAAGCAAGTGCCAATGAACCTGTAAAGATAATTATATTTCTGGTTTTTAAAAAATTAAGGATATTAGCAAAATGAATGTGCCAAAATTATATAAACGATGTATTAATAATCCTTGCATAATACTTATAAAAACAAAAATAAATGAGATTGATTTTCAAAGTACATATATGCCTTATTCTATTTTATGGTACTGAGAATTGAACTCAGGACCTTGAGCTTGCCACTGAGCTAAATGTCCAGCCCAATATGTCTTATTTTAAACAAGGTTAACAGAATAGTAATTTCAAACAATAACTAATCCTTTGCTGCCTGTCTGGTCTCAACATAGCAGCCTATATATCTATATCTATATCTATATCTATATCTATATCTATATCTATATCTATCTAGATTTTGCTCCTCCTTTGCTCAAAAATCTTCATATGGCTCTCAATCTCAATGGCCCCAAAGCCTTACAAAAGCTAACAAGGTCCTACATGCTCTTTTACTCTTCTGACTTCATACTCTGCAATCACATTTCATCCATCCTGGTCATCTGGATTTATTCCTTAAACATGCCAGTCATGCCCCCACTTCAGGGCATTTGTATTTGCCATTCTCTGAATGCTCTTCCTCTAAATATCCTTTTCATGGCTTGTGCCTTCACCAGCTTTAGATCTTGAATGTCATCTCTTCTGGGGCACTCTAAAGCTGTATCCTTTCATGCAAATATATTCTTTAGCCCAACCTTTGTCTTTTCAGCTCTTATCACTATATAACATTCAATATATTTTACTCATGTTTTTATTGCCTGTACCACCTCACTAGAGTGTAAGCTCCATTAGGGTTGGTTTGTCCATAAATACTTCATTGACTCAGCACTTAGTGTTAAATAAACACATACTCATTGATGTTATTCTTTAAATAAGAGGACACACAAAGTAACTAAAGAACTGTTGGTATATAGAAGGAAGATAAGAATGCAATTCTTCACTGTTTTGTTTATTAAAGAGCAAGAGGAAGTATTTTGTCTCACAACTGGTGGTTCCATTTCTTAGAGAAAAAATTTTTAGTACTGGAAATTAAAGTCAAAGCCTTCATACTGAGTTACCTCTCCAACCCTTTTTATTTTGGGACAGTGTCTTGCTAAGTTGCTGAGCTGCACAGGCTGGGCTTCAAATTGTTGAGTGCAAGGATTACAGGTGTGTGCCACCATACCTGGCTTGTTCATCAAATTCTGATAATTCTCAACTCTAATGACCTTTTCAGAAATATTGAAAATGTGCCTTTTTTTCTGTTGTTTCACTTAGAGATGCTACTGACACAATACATGAGGGATAGAAATGTGATATGTGGAAATGACAAAAGAACTGCCGCAAAGGCCAAGAGATATGAAGTTAAGATAGCCTACAGCAAAGAACACAAATGTAATAATTTAGACCTTCTAGTTAAGATTCTATAGTAAAGTTGACTATAAATGATTCATTAAAAATGAGTATTTGTTAAAGGTTTACAAACATTTAAAAATTTTCAGAAAAATTCTAAGTTCCATTTCTATGGTCATTAATTCACAAAGGACATAGAGAGAAATATAATTACTAAAACTTTTTAAGAGTACTCACGAGTGGAAGGTGTCATTACTTTGCTGTTCACAGAAGATGCCCACACAGTCCTTCTGTTCTTTAGGTGTGTAGCCTTTATCATAGAGTTGTGTCAGCCCAATTGTGAAAGAAAACAAAACAAGAAGAAACATCCCAAGAAATTTTCCGAAATCTTGTAACATCTGTCCCATTGAAATCTGTAAAATGCATTACATAGGAATTTGGTTAAGATTCTCAGAAAAACTACATAGTATTTAAGTTCCTCCTACTGACTTGCAGGTGTCCATACCTTACTTTTTAAATAAAAATATAAACTTCAGCATAACTATACCTGGCTATGCCTCAGTCGTAGCTGTGCTGGGGGAATACAGGAAGCAATCTTTGTGTTCACCCATTTGATAAAATGAACATCAAAGTGTATACATGTGTGTCAGTGTAAATGATGTTTTACCTGTTGTGCACTGTTACATTTTGTGTATTTATAATTTTTTTAATTTAAAAAAAATTTGCTTGTAGAATCAGCACTATTCAGTACAATGTCACATGAAAATCCGCTTTTACAACTTTGAAAATAAGTTGAAAGTGAGTCATCGGATAACTTGGCTACTGATGATGACCTGGATCATGTAAGCCAAAGACGTTGGCAAAATTTGGCAGATAGGACAGATAAAGAAGTACAAAATGAAGACTGATTCAGATGAGGAAGAAAACAGTAATATCAATAAATTATTTGACTAGCTACAAATGGTCATGTATACCTGAATGATCCAATGTTAGAACTAGGTCAGAAACTGCAATTCAGTTGGAAATTTTAACAGACAACATGCTACAAAATGTTTTAAAATACACTAAAATGAAATTCAAGAAAACATTCCATTTTATCAATAGTAACACTCAAAAATATATTTATCATGATCTCTCACTATCTGAACTAAAAGCTTCCATAGCAGGATTTTATCATTCCAACTGTCAGAATCTAAAGGATTTATGGAGAAGTGACAGATGTGGTGTTGAGATTTTTAGAACAGACATTCAGAGATTCGATTTCCTTCAAAATTGCCTATGTTTTGATGAAACAAACAAAAAAAAGACCCACGAAGACAGACAAAGTCCGACAATTTGGTTGCTATTTGATCATTTGTTGAAAGCTTTGTTTCAAATTGTCAAGCAATTCACATACTGTTCAAATACATGACAACTGATAAACAACTTGTATCATTTTGTGGTTGTTGACACTTTTAGCAATACAGTAAAGTAAACCTTCCAAATATGGTATAAAAAATATATCCCTTGGATACAGATTCAAAAACATTTTACATTTTGAATTTAGAAGTTTACCCTAGAACTCAGCCACCAGATCTTTGTGCAATAACAAACCATATGACACTGTGAACACACTTGTTGCACCTATTTCAAAAAGTAACCCAATGTCACATTTGTTACCTACCTATTGATGTTACATTTGCTAAAAGAACACCAGTTGACCAGCACAGACTCTATTTGTAAGAACAAAGCCCAGATTCCTGAAAAAATTTTTGCAAGTTTACAATACAGAAATGTATAGTACAATCTTTGCATTTCAGAAAGACATAACATTTGCCTCCTATATGGCAAAGAAAAAGTAGTACTGATACTGTCAATTATACCATGATGATAAGATTGATTGTGAATTTGGGCATGGTGGTGCATACCTGTAATCCTAGCACTAAGAAGCTGAAGTAGGAGGATTCTGTAAGTTTAAGGCCAGCCTGTGATACACAGTGTGTTCAAGGTTAGCCTGGACTACATAGCAAGACCCTGTTTCAAAATAAACAAAAAAAAAAAGATAGATAGTGAATCTTCAATACAAATGAAGTCAGAAATGGTCACATTTTACAAGAAAACAAAGGCGGGGTAGATGTTGTTGAGGAGTTATGCCACAATAATGAAGTCAACTGAGATGCAAAGCATTGGCCAATGGTTGTTTTACTTGATCTGAAACATGGGAGGCATAATTTCATAGCTGACAAACAAAAAGAAGCACAAAAAATCATGCAGAAATTTTCTTAGAGGATTTGGACTGTAATTGATAAATAATCAATTACAACAGAGAAAGAACAATATGTATCTGCCCAAAGAACTCCTCAGAAAAATTCTGGAGCAGACCTGTGAACAGACAGATGAAAACATCGTAAGAACCTCCTAGGAAAACCAAAGACCAGCAAGATGTCAAGTTTGTCCTACCAAAGAAGACAAGAGAATAAAACATATGTGCTATCAGTGTAAGCAATACCTGTACATGGAACATGCTCTTCTCATGTGTGAAAATTGCCCTAAGTGTCATAACTGAAGTAATTTTCATTGTAGGTCACATAGGAATTTATTTCTGCTGTTATTTTTTAGATCTTGTAAGGTGGTCAACAGTTGATGTTGAAAATGTTGATGTTTATTTTACACACTCATTACATATTAAAATTTTTATTTTATTGGTATTTCCTTTTCCTATTAAATATACATCATTTAAAATAATAAAACATAAAATTAAAATTTGTAATTCATCAATAGAAATAATCTTAAAAAGTAAACGTGAGCATTGCACATCCCCTTAACTGCCTTTTCTAAAACTTTGCTGTAATGTTCCCTGGGGCTACACTATCTGACAATAAAAATGACAAATAAAAATGACAAACATGACTCACAGTCCAACCCTTTTATTTTATCTGGTTGAGATTTTTAACACTTTGAAAATAAAAAAATCTAGCTTCTTAACCAATCTAGTCATGCACAACATGTAAGTGTTGGATGATGCAGTCCTGAAATGTGAACTAGGTCTGCAGAGGACATTGTTGATGTAGAGGTAAAAGCAGAAACATGGAGTTTTCTTTTTAAAGACCTAATTTGTAAGGGATAATGCCCTACTCAAACCTAAAGAGAAATAAATATTTATATGGATTCTTCTTAAAGTCTACCAAAATAAAATAATTACAATAAAAGGTTCGTCATCTAATTTTTGCAACCAATTCTTAACAAACTCCTAAAGGACAGCATTTCCTTCCTTCTCTAGAACTGTCCTGATCTCTCTTGCTGAAGTGATCAATTTACTTACACTTTGAGTCCATTATAAAAGTATTATGTGTGAGCATGTTTTGTTCAGGATATCCGGAAGCTTTGTTCAAGTTTAATTTCATTTTTATTCATTAACACCTGGGCGTAGGTACTTTTAAAAAGCCTTGTTTTTTAAACTGAAATACAAATTTGGGGAATGATATGACAGCATTTCTTGACCCAGCAATTCTATTCCTAGGAATGTACCAGTAGGTAGGAGGTGCGAAAAGATGCAAGTATACATGAAGATTTTCAAAGCAGCATTGTTGGAGGGAAAAAGAAAAGCAACTCAAAACAAAGAACGTACAAATATTGTTTTTCTTTTCTTTTTTGAACTCAGGACCTTGCCCTTGCGAGGCAGGCAGCGGAACCACTGAACCTAATCCCCAGCCCACAAATATAGTTTTTATAATGAATGAAGTATATCAGTATAGGCTGGCATAGAAAGATGTCTATAAAACATTAAATAAAAAACAGGGTAGCCAGGTGTGGTGGCGCATGCCTCTAATCCCAGTACTCAGGAGGCTGAGGCAGGAGGATCGCTGTGAGTTCCAGACCAGCATGGGCTACACAGTAAGTTCCAGGTCAATCTCAACTACATAGTGAGACCCTGTCTCAAAAAGCAAACAAACACACAAACAAAACACACACAAAAAACAAAAAACAAAACAAAACAAAAAAAACAGTTTAGGACATAGTGTGTGCATAAACATACATAACAATCCCATTTCCATTTTTTAAAGGACAGACAGGATATACATCACACTTATAGCTCTTTAAATTAAATTTATTACTTTTAAGATATAAAACAGTGGGGTCAGGGATTTAGCTCAGTGGTTCCGCAGCCTGCCTCCAAGCGCAAGGTCCCAAGTTCAATCCTGGGTATCATAAAAAAAACAAAACAAAACAAAAAAAACTTAGTGTTGGAAAGGTATTTTTAAACACTAAGGTTTTTTTGTTTTGTTTTGGATGCCTGGGATTGAACTCAGGACCTTGCTCTTGGAGGCAGGCGGCAGAACCACTGAGCTAACTACCATAGGAAAAGACTTTATGAACAAATCCTCAGTAGCATGGGAACTAGCAGCAAGAATCAACAACTGAGATCTCACCTTATTAAAAAGCTCTGCACTGCAAAAGAAACCATCAACAGAACTAAGAGACAACCTACAATGTGGGAAAAAAATTTTTACCAGCTGCTCCTCAGACAAAGGACTATTATCTAGACCTTATAAAGAACTCAAAACAATCAGCCCCCCAAATATAAAGATCTGATTCAAAAATGGCATCTGAAATGAACAGACATTTCTCAGACAAAGAAGTAAAAGCAGCAAGTAAATGTATGAAAAAATGTTCCACATCACTGGTCATTCGAGAGATGCAGATGAAAACAACACTGAGATTCCACCTCACCCCACAAAGAATGGCTGCTATCAAGAAATCAACCAATAACAAATGTTGGCGGGGTTGTGGGGAGAAAGGAACCCTCCTCCATTGTTGGTGGGAGTGCAGACTGGTGCAACCACTGTGGAAATCAAATGGAGATACCTCAAAAAACTAGGATTAGAGGTTCCATTTGACCCAGCCATCCCTCTGCTGGGTATCTTCCCAAAAGAATTAAAAGAATCATATCACAGTGATATATGCGCACCTATGTTTATAGCGGCACAGTTTGTAATAGCTAAAACTTAGAAAGAGCCCATTTGCCCATCAGTTGGAAACTGGATAAAGAAGATGTGTTTTTTCCATAAAATGGAATACTACTCAGCTATAAAGAATGATAAATTAGATTCATTCATAGGAAAATGGATACATATTGAGGACATACTCCTAAGTGAAATAAGTAAGTCACACACATGTAAATACCGAATAGTTTCTCTGTTATGAACAAACTATAATGGTACATAAGATCCTAATGAGATAATTGACAATGTGAAATAGCAAGAAAAGGACTAAAGGTGCAGGGAAAGTGGGAAGGGTAGGGGAAAGGTATTAAGGGAAAGAAAAAAATAGGAGAAAATGAAAAAATGGAAAAAAATGTTTGTAAATGGGGAGGGGAGAAGAGGGTGAAGGGAGGGCAAGGACAAGGGGAAAAAGTGAGAACCAAGTCCTGTCA